TGCATTTTTTTCAATGTTTAGTTAATATTTGGATGTTTTGGAGAATTTGTAGAGTTTGATGATGAACTTGTTACATCTGAGATATGTACTGTACAATTATTACATGAAGAGAGTCAGTAAGCTATGATTGAAGAGGAGACACCTAGTGAACATTCTGACATTGGCCCAAGTGTAGTGCTGAAATTTAGCAAGGCCATCAAGTCTTTCCAAGTCATGAAGACCTTCCTGATGAGTTTCAGCACAAATGAACAGGCTGTACTGTACATGACATTGCTAATATCAAGAGATTGTGTTCATTAGGAGGAAAGTGGCATTAAAGCGAACCAGATGGATGAGTTTTTAACAAATTGTGACGTGCTAATGAGCATTCATACATTGCCTCTTTTTGTGCTTACAATATATACATTTTTCATCAGTTTGTACACAGTAACAGCAGAAGATCTTGTAACATATGTGTTTCTATAGAATAAAGGATAGATATCTCAAGAGACAATAATTTCAAGTAAAGATGTTTGTTATATGTAGAGAGTTAAAAAACAAAGTTTTTCGAATAACAGATATTTTCCTGTCTGTACAGGGAAATTCATTGTTTGCGATATAATGCATTCTCAGAATAATGGATTATTTTCAGCAGCCCGAGTAATCCATTAAAATGAGATGCTACTGTAATTAACAAATTTTCATTAAAAAAATAATAATGATGGAAAAATTGTTAAATTAGCCTATTAATTAAATTAATTAATGATGAATGATTAATCAGTATTATATAATAGTCTAATCATATGATTAATCATTAGCTAATTGTTGCCAGGTATTTTTTAAATGTTATAAAATTTCAATTTACTTTTTAAATTTTTGTACACTTTTTTTAGTTATTATGTTTTATTATTAATTAATAATAGTTTTGTTTAATATCTGCAATTAAATATCATCTGTTCTCATAAAGGTTTGGCCATCTAACAAAAATGATTGAGTTTGGTAATTGTAGTTTTAAATAAATCAGTTTTATTTATGCTAAAGCCATTACCATTATTCAAAAACAAGAATGTTTTTGCTACAATAAGATTGTAACAAACATTATGTGTACTTAATGAACTATCAACACACCTGTTGCTGAGAAATGTTTATTAAACAAAACACTAGCATATTCTATTCTATTCTAGCCTATTCTATTAGGTTGAAAATACCTAATAGAATATGCCATCTTCAGGTGTAACTGAATTTGAACATATTTTAAAAATTTAACATTTTAATTTTAAGTTATTTTTATATTAATTTGTACAATAATATATGTTAAATAACACACAAATACATGCACACAAAAATATAAAGTTTATATTTTGTGATGAAGTGATCCTGATTTTATTGCAAAAAACAAGAATTTCAGAAAAGTTGTGAAGTTTTGTTTGTTGCTTTTTTTCTATTAATTTGTACAATAATATATGTTAAATAACACACAAATACATGCACACAAAAATATAAAGTTTATATTTTGTGATGAAGTGATCCTGATTTTATTGCAAAAAACAAGAATTTCAGAAAAGTTGTGAAGTTTTGTTTGTTGCTTTTTTCTTTCCTTAAACAAATGTCTTTAGCAGAAGCTTGCATCCAAAATGCCTCGTTTTGCTTTTGCACTCCTTTCAAAATCTGGATCATTCACTACAATTTGATCAACGATTTCGGTTATCGTTATCAAACTTTTACTAAGGAAATCTGTAGAGAAATTTTTTGGGTTCTTTGTTTTCAGAATCTCTATTTTCCAGTTCTACATGAATTCCTTGTTCTGTCAGTTCTTGAAGGTTGTTGTTGGTAAGACTCTTACTAGAAACCTGTGGTAACTCCTCAATATCCTGCTCGTCTACATCTCCTACTCCTGCTGTATCGATTAGGTTGACTTTGGTCAACCTTATGATACAGCGATAGGGTCATCTTGTTAAGAATTCTTGGATACCTTTGGCCATAACTTCTTCCACACTTTGTTCATGCATTTATCAGGTAATTCTCGCCAAGTGAAGCTGATATTGCCCATGGCATCCATGATGTTATATTTTTCCAAAATTGCATTAAACAAACAAACATTTAAAGAAAGTACACCTTTTTGTCACCTTTTCCTGATTGGTTCATGTTCGTAAATAATCATATTATATATGAATCAATAAAATGCCATGATAATTTAAATTAACATAAATTTTGAGCTTTGTTTTTTAGGCTTCAAGCAGACCGTGTTACATTGAATCAGCGTTAAATGAGGCAGTGTTAAGTGGGGTCTTACTGTATTTTAATTTTTCTTTTAAGTAGAATTTCCATGCAGAAGCTAGTCCATCTGCATCCCTAGCATTAATACGACCATCCTTTAATTTACTTTTATAGATTTCAATTTTTTCTTCATGCATTGCTAATGATGGGGAACACATGGCCTTGAGTTAAATCGCTTCATTCAAAAGCCTATTTAAAAAAATTTAATTTTGTATTCTATGTTTTATTTATAATTTTTTAAGATAGAGCAAGACTTTTCATAATGGGAGGTCCTAAATTGTGGCTTGATTAGTTTTTGTAAACTTAGAACTACTATAAATGTTGTCATTTGTTTCTATCATTTATCAAATAATTGTAACATGATTTGCTGTAAAATTACTCCTTTTTTTCTATTTTTAATTAATTAATATTTTAAGAAATTACCCTGTTGAATTATTTATTTATTTTTCTTAATTAAAACAATATTTATAACCAATTTATTATAATTTAATTTTTGCTTTGTACATGTAGATTAGATTATAGTTTAAAAAATTATTGTTAATACAGTGAAACCTGTATATGACCTTAATCCGTTCCTAATGTTTGGACTTATACAGAATAGGACGTATACCAAACCAACCTTTCCCATAAGAAGTAATGTAAAAATGATTAATCCGTTCTCATGAAAAAAAATGGCTGGCTTTAAACACCTCACTTTCCTGACTAGTTCCTGCTTGATTTTTCATGAGATCAGCATATATCTTTTTAGCTTTCTCGCAAATAATTGCTTCCGATACAATGTCGCCAGCACACTGTTTTTCAGTTATCCAAAGCAAAAGCAATTTCTCAACATGATCTAATGTCTTCGATCTCTGTTTAGAAATTGATTTAACTCCTTTTGCAACGTTAGCAGATTTAATAATGTCTTTATTTTTCGCGATTGTCGATATCGTTGTTCTCGGAATACGATATGCAACAGTTAAATCTGGACCACGCATACTACCTTCACATTCCTCAACAATCTCTTTTTTCAGTTCCATTGTGATTCTAGTCATTTTTTTAGTTTTCTATTGCTTTTCACTTACCTTTTTGCAATTCATGATTAATAAAAATAATAAAATTTTATTTACAAATTAAAATCAGAAGAAATTTAACAAAGTTATAAACTGTGGCACCATGAATGTCTAGCCTGGTCTAGTATACCGATAGTGCTACTTGTTCATAGATGGCGTGTATAATTGAATTAAGTTGTATACCGAACAAAAGTCGTATACTGAGCAAAATTTATTTCATCCAAACAGGACGTATTCCGAATTGGACGTATTCTAAAGCAGATGTATACCGTAATTCCAACAAAAGCACTGTATTATTTAGTTTAAATATTAATTCAATAAAATCTTTAACATTTACCAGTGCTTTTGTTGGAATTTGGCCAGTGATATGGACATCAGAGAATTTATTTTCATTATTCATTAGAACATTGCCAACTTAAAAGTTACAATGTCCCTTATAAAAAATATTTTACCTCTAAAAGATCCTTATTTGGGGATTTTTAGGGGTAAAACATCTGAAGTCTATAAAGTCTCCTTTCCAATGTATGTATTTAGGACATTAAGATTGGCATTAGCATGGAGCTAGTCATCCCATATACTTAATTTGGGTTATGAATTGATTGCTTGTTATGCTTTCTTCAATGTGCCTGTATGGCACTCTAGAAAGGACTCCTTTTCTTAATCTCATTTTAAAATTAGTAGTAAAAATTGTAACAATTGGTATTATAATTAATTACTGTTTTTACAACTAGAACTTTCAATAATTAAACTTTAATATCAAGATAAAAATTTTGATTTGTACTTTAGGAAATATTCTGTTACTAAATCTAAAGATTATCTATAACTAAACTATCCTTAAGACTCTCTTCTTGTATTCCTTAGTTGGCATTGATAATTTTTAGTGTAGTAAACAATGATCAGAAAATAGTTGCTGTTCATTACAATATTGAATATCGTAAGATAATAGCATTGCCAGTTTTTACTGAGTAGTAAACGGTATTTAACTTCTGATTACTGTTTTCAGTTTCTCAGTTTTCTTTATGAATAGGATATTTGTTTTAAAATATTGATAACAAACTATGTATTATCAGTTTTTAAAACAAATTAACCTCAAAATTCATAATTTTTGTCAAAAGGATCAAAATTATATTTAATTGAATAAAATAACACCAGTAATCCAGAAAAAATGAAAAATTTTAATAAACAAACAGATGTTTTCAACAGTCATCATCAGGTTGTAGTATCAAATATTGAACATAAAACATTACATAAGATTTGAAAATGATGGAACTTGTTAACATTGTGTGTATGCAGCCAGATCATATTTTAAATTGTAAAGATTAATTTAATATATTCGAAGTTTTGGAATTTGCTATTTTAAAAGATTTTTCATGTTTTGAATCCCAAATTTTTATGCAAAAGATATGAAGTGTAAAAATCTCTGAAAATGGAAAAGTATTCCAAACATACTTTACTAACAAAAGTAGTTTTTATTTGTTAAAGTATAATTTCCACCTTTTATGATATGCTGTCTTTATTATTTTTATTTTTAAGTTATATTAAAACAATCAATTATTGATTTAGCAAAGTTATTTACTATATATATATGTGTGTCTGTGTGTGTATGTGTGTATGTATGTATGCAGCCTATGTATGTAATAAAATATGAGAAAAATAAATTTCTAATTCATTCATTTTAAATTTTAACTTTAGATTAGCTACTAGAATGTACTCTGAATGGGTCTCTCTTCCGGCTACTGCGCAAGCAGAAGAGAAAAGATGGAGTGTGTTACATAAGCTTCCAGGAACTACTGGCAGAGATGTTGTCATTGCTGTAGTTAAACCATTAGCTTTAAATCTTGGAATCAGCACACCAAACTGTGAACCAAGTAATTTAAATTCTGATAAAGAAGTTCAGTGGTGTATGGAAGTATGTACCAGTATTTTAATATATTTCAATAATTACTAAAATAAATCATAATTTCATTTCTCTAGTTCTACTTAAATTATATTGTTTGCCCCAGGAATAAATTATAGGTGATCAACATGTGTTATTAGTTGGCTGAAAATTTACTTATGAACCTCTTGGTTTACAGTTAATGATTATAATACTGATATTATAACCAAAATCACACTATTCTGTAGTCTAGTTATAAAAAAAATTTTTTAAATTAGTTGAAGTTGTTTTGACACTAGGCTGAGAAAATATTTAACTGGTCAAATAACCAGCTTGAGGAGAACACTTAAATAATACATTTTATTGCTTAAAAACAAAAATAATTTTTAAAGAATATATATTAACTACATCTTAATATAATTTTATTTTTATAATGTAATTATTTTTATTTTTTTACTATTTGTCTGTTTTTATTCTTTTAAATTTCTTTTTTAACTTGTTTTATTATGAACTATATGGAACAAATTTTATTTCATTATTTCCTGTTTTATCATATACTGTGTATCAATTTTTTTGACTTGAGCAACTATTCAAGATTAACAGAAGTTTATTTTTTTGAGCATATAATTTGAGTATGTTAAAAAATGACTAATATATATTAATCATTTCTGAATTTATATGATTTTATACAACTATCATTAAACTATTAACATCTTAATATAGTTTAAAACCAGTTGTTTTTTTTTAAAAACGAAAATTGAGATAATAATTTACTAATTATTGAACAGAGATGCAGCACATATTTTCATGATTCAGAGAATCCACATCATGCTTCTGTTGAAATGGTTTTGGTATTCTGACAATAAGCTTGGAAAAGCCTGAAAGTACTAGAGTTTAAGGAAAATTTTTCATTTTGATCTCCAAAGAAAGCAGTGGATTACATATGTTAAGAATATAAAATGAAATTGGTTAGTCAAAGAAAAACATTTTTTTATTACTTTAAATAGCTTGTATATTCCAAGCTATTTAAAAGTAAAATTTGCTTTACTTAGAAAATAAGTAAAGCAAGAATAAATTTTTTTTAACAGCTTTTTGAAAATAAAGAAATCTCAAAACTACCAAATAAATGTATTTCTTTGACTTCTAAATAAGTCTGTTGTTCAATAATTAGTGTTCACTAGGTGGCTCCTCCTCAAGCATATCAGCCTACTGACTCTCTTTATAAAATTCTTCAATTATACATATCCCAAATTAACAAGTGCATCATCAAAATCTACAGATTCCCAGAAAAACTGAATTATTAACTAAAAACTGAAAATATGCCAAGTTTACAATAGATGAAGATAGAAAAAAAATCTATTATTCTGAATTATGGGTCTGATGAAAGGAGGTAAAATTACATTGATTTGGTGGGACTTGGAAAAAAAGCCTTTATTCTGAGAAATTGTAGTTCTGTGATTCATTAAAATGAGATTCTACTGTAGTTCAATAAATTGTCAGACTCATGTGGATGGAGAAATAAAAACTATTAAATTTTTTACTAATAAAATGTATTATTATGTACATTTATTTTTCAACCTATGAGCCATTTTGCTCCACACTTTTTCCAATGGCATACAAAATCTTCAAATGCCTTTTTGAAAAATGTTGGAAAACAAGTTTTGAAAAATTTGGTCAGTTCTCCTTCAGTACTATTCAGAACTAGTGAGTGAGGTCTGCAAACTGTATTAAAAATCAAAAGGCATTTTCCTTTTCTTTATTCACAATAGTGCTCCTTTCAAATCAGCCACATCATAAAAATGACAGTTGAACAATGAGATTTCAAGAGCTCCCATGCTCCCAAACAGCTCTGATCTTGCTCTTAGTGACTTTCCTCTGAAGAGCTGGAGAAAGTGTATAGAGCAAAATGGCTCTTACATTGAACACTAAATGTATACAATAATGCCATTTATTAGTAAAAAGTTTAATAGTTTTCCATTTCTCCATCCATGTGACCCAAATATGTATGTTAGATGCAATCTTGTTAAACTAACAGTTTTTATTTTCATATCCATTTGTATTATTTGAAATTTGTACCTTTTTTTCTTTGCACTGATGGAAATGAAAATCAGAATAGTATAAGATGCTGTTTAATTTGTAATTTTTATAAGTATACTAGTTGATTGCCTATCATATATGATAGAATATATAAAATACAATTGCAAAGTCATACTTGTAAAGTTTACTTAGCTATTTCATTATGTTTACAAAGAAAACATAGTCATTTTGTTTGTATTTTTTATTTTTTGCCCTGAGAGTGCTAAGAGGTCTTTTTTATCAAGCCCACAATGGGGCAACCAGGTGATGGAGAATGAAGCTCAAATACCTGGGATGACCACTAGGACTGTTGAGAGCTTATGTAGTACCTAAGGTAGACAGGCCTCGTTTTTTTTAACAAATGAAATATGTAGAATGTTTCTTTGTTAATAAAATGCAGTCTTAAAGATTTTAGTTTTTGTTAGTAAAATAACATTAATTTATTTTGGTATAAACCATTATGGGCTCTTAAATGTTCTTTGGGTCCAGGGAAATATTTGCAGCTCTCTCCTCTCAATGACACTGGACCACCCCAAAAAATTCCTAGGGTTTCAACTCATCCATTTCCATTCATTAAAGGTTTTTTTTATGCATAACATAATGTAGGAAAGTAAAATTTATTTAAAATGATATAAAATAAAATCTAGGCCTAGTTAGATATATATTAAACAAAGTAAAAATGAAATAAATTGAAGAATATAGGCTTATATTAAGTAAGATTGAAAAACTTGCCACCACCAATTTTGATAAATTCCAAGTTGAAATAACCTTTGCAAATAGAAATTTTGGTTAAATTTTGTCATTCTGTACTTTCTAAGCTCCCTAAGAATTGTCACCAACTGTTAGTGTTTGTATAACATTAAAGAAAATGATATTGAAAAATTAAAAAACTTTAAAAAACAATAAAATATAAAAAGTAGCAAAATTTAATTAATAATGATGCTAAAATAGATGTATTAACAGATGATGTAAATTGTGTTGATGGCACTTCAATCTGAAAAGTTCATTATGCAATCTGTAATATAATATATGGAAAAAACTTGCAAGTTAAGTGACATTAATTAAAATTATCTAACAAAGATCAGTGATGCATATTTAATTAACTAATTGATTGTTGCTAATATGAGAAAATGAGAATTTTAGCGCTAAAAATTACATTAAACTGTAAGTTCAGAAACAAGTGTACTGTACATAATTTCAGAGAACTTTCTTTAAATATGTTGTCTGTCTCTGAATATAATAAATTTCATTGCATTTATTTATTGATTGTAAAACCAAATACAATACATGAATGAAAGATCAGCATTTACAGTTGGAAGGAAGTAATATTAATCTTTATAATATTTATAATTTATATATACAGTAATACCCCGAACTTACACGATAGGTGGGACCGAGCGATAACCGCGTAAGTCGAATTCGCGTAAGTCGGGGTATAATTTCTCAATGTGTGTAATATCCAAGTCGGATGTATGTAAGCTAATAAATGTTCTCGTTAATCTTATCTCGTCTTTTGATTCGTTTACGGTTACAAGAAATCACCACATAGTCCCCGTAGATATAACAAACACAGAAATAAATAACACAAAATAAATTGTAGCTATGTGTCGATTCTGCGCGACACGTCTGAACATGTAAGCTGAACAATAGTGTGGGGGGA